CAGCCATGTAGCAGTATCTTTGCTAAATGGCTGGATATAGATCTTGTGCTTCTAGACCTCACTGAGGGACGGGGGGACTCCATTTTTAAGGGGTCTGCAAGTGATCGAAAATGGTAACTTGCTCTATAAAGAGTTAAAGCCATGTTTGGTGAACATGCAGACTAGTGATTGCAAAGAGTATAATTCTAACGAGAAACTCCCCTAAACAGTTCGATTTTCAGACAGTAGTGCAAATTTGTGGGGTAAATATCTTTCATTGGGGAAAACCGACTGAATTGCCCCATTGTGCAATATACTACGAGGGTGAACTGATGTCAATCAAACCTAGTTCTGAAAACCAGTAGTCACAGTTTACTGACCTATAAGGGATAAATATTAAGAAGAAACCAAAATCAATTGAATTTATAAAAAAAAATAAAAAAAAATTTGCATTAATATTTTCAATGTGAAACACAAAGCCCAACACTCTCCCTCTCTATGATAGCTGCCAACTCCAGCCAACGGTCCTTCAAACTGGCTATGATGCAAGATGATTAGCAGAACATTTCCAGACTCTGTTCCTTTGATGATTTGAGTTTAAAATCAGTATTATCACATCAGCTAAGAAATTAACTGTCACTTGATTTGCTGCTGGAACAGCTGCTTAAACTAAAATAAAAAATCTCCCATTGACTTAAAAACTGCTGTAAAAAGCTACTTCTATCAGGAGTGCTGTGGGACCGAGCCAATTGGACCAATTGGACCCCGTGTCTCTCTGTGGTAGCGTGATGACCACTCCCTACCTGCACGTCACTGGCCAGCGTTTCATACGTGTCCTTGAGGCAATGCCAGTTCTGTCGACCCAGAGTGAGCGCCACCCCGGGCAGGCTGAAGGCACAGTGTTTGGCTATCTCTGTATCCACCGTCTGCGCGCGCGCCGGGTCCGTCATAGAGAGGTACTGATCCAACAGCTGCTGGGGGATAACATTCTGCAAATGCATCACAAAGAGACAGCTATTTAAAAATGATATTAGGAAGAGAGAAAGGTTTTTAAAACAGTGTCTGAAGTATTGTAGGCCAACAATACGGCTGTAATATCAACACAGTTTAAAAAATAAGCACATTTTCACATCGCAGGACTTTTTATTTTTGGTCTTTTTACATTTAAGAAGAGTAATACACCATTTTACTCCAGACCATTGGGTTTAAAGTGGGATCGCTGCCCCATAGAAGGGAACAGAGAGCAGCAGCTAAAGCACAGATCCAGTAAAGTCCTGCAAAAAGGGACTCTTCAAGTGCTTCAAAAGCTAATTTCCATTTTTAGCAAAGCCTTTATCCTTTAGACCAACCTGGATTTTCGGCTTTTCTTCAGACACTGGGCTGTGGGGACAGTCATCCTTCTCCTCCTCCTCCATGCTTTCAATTAATTCAGACTCCTGAGGTAAAATAAGAGCAACAGTGACAACATAAGTGTAAACATAAGTAAATCCAAAAAATAAATGAAATAAAAAACAAACAAAACTATATAACTTGAAATTTCCTTGATGGAAAGTTAAAGTAAAAATCTGCTGTAAGAAGAGAAGAGATCTTAGCTGATCCTAAAAAAGAAAAAAGGGTTTCGTGAAAAAGTAAGGAAATATAAGCATGTGTTGCCAGCTCTGAAAATAAAGCACCTATCATATAAACCTGATGTAGCAGACAGTCCTACAGCAGCAGCTCGTTTTAAGCAGTAACTTAATGCAGCAGCTAGAACTACTCCGATTGTTATGTTACATTATTCAAGCCAATAAAAACCAAACTCCAGTGAATCTTATGACAGTGATGTTAAAACTGGTGTCACTGATCGTGCAGCTTCTATAAAGCTTGACGCTTTAGCTTACGAACCGAGGCGTCTCTTACCTGTACTGGAGAGCCAGGGGAAGATTGCTCCTCCTCCTCCTCCTCCTCCTCGTCCTCGTCTTCCTCTTGGGGCTCTGTCTGCGTCTGCTCGTCTTCTTGTTCTTGGACTGGGCTCGGCTCCGAGGCTGGAGGAGTTTCCACCGTTTGCTCCTCGTCTGTGCAAGTTTCCTGCGTTTCCTCCGACTGAATCTCCCCCGTCGTGTTCTCCGCCAGCGGGCTCTCGTCGTTAGCTTCTAGCAGCGCTTCTGGTTGCTGCTCAGTTGGACTGTTGTCCGTCGGGCTGTCAAGCTGGGCAGCTTTCAGAGCCGCTGACAATACTTGAACTTGAGCTGTGGGTCAATCACATGCAGGACTGAATCTATATGCCAGTGCAGCGTCAGAAATCCCACCACACACACTCTGGCTCCATACACTCACCTTGTACGTCAGGGTCATCAATGTGAGGTTGCAAACAATCCAAAACCTTCTGGATCTGATCGCTGGTAGCTTTGCCGTGGCTGGATTTAGACTCTGGACAATTTTCCTCAGGTTCTTCTTCTTCTACCCCCTTTTCTATCCCTTCCTCGGACTTCTGACAATTAAGCATCTCCAGTTCGTCGCTGATGTCGGGTAAAGGAGCTCTCCAGTAGTGGAAAGAGTTAAAGCTCTGGTCTGTCGGCTCCGTTTCTTTTGTGTTTCTAGCATTGTTTGTAACCAGGGGAGTGCCACCGCTGTCTGTGAGAGTCTCTCTGGGGACAGAAAAATGGCTCTCCTCAAAGTGGTCCTCGCTGTCCGGCGCCGAAACGTGCTCAGGCGATGGCGTCGCCCTGCCGTCCTGATTGGGAGGGGTGTGAGTGATGGCTCTCTCTTTGTGGCAGATGCTAATGTCGGCACAGTTCAGGGAATTTAGAGAGCAGTTGCTGCAAAAAGACAAAAGATCAGACACAATCAGCACTTCCTCATGTTGCAAGTCTGTTTGCCAACTTTTCATTTGAGACGTGAACTAACCAAACAATTGCAGCACTTTTAAACTTTCTTTAGAAACAAGGTTTTGAGGGTTAAAAAAAAAGAAAGTAATTGACTTCTTTTTAAATTAGCATTCAGAAAAGAGGATGAACAGGTTTGTCCCCGTGTCTTTTGAAAAAGGATGATTCATCCAAGCGATGACTAAGCTCCAGCTTCCTTCACTAAAGTCACACTCTGAACTTCAGTCTGTCAAAAACGAATGTGCAATGAAAGCGTGACAAAATTACTGCAAGATTAACAGACAATTACCAACTACAAATACACCGATAGACACAATTAACACGTGTCATATCATTAGGGAATCATCTTTCATTGCACAGCTGATGCTTCCGGTCTGCTTTGCTTTAGGATCATAACTAAAGTATGTGTAGATTAAGGTTTAACTCTGATACTAGTTTCCACAGAATTGTAGACAAAACCATATAGAGATTATTTGAAGTTCTGCGTGGAAACCAAATCTTTTTTTCATCTTATATGCTAAAAAAAAAATCCAGATACTTCTAGATCCAATCATTTGTAAGCTCTTGTCCTTCCCTTATGTGTTAAAATGTGTTATTATCTGCTGTACAGTTCAGGGTTACACGGTTTTAATAAATTCAAATCAACACAACAACCTGGAGATATAACACAGACCTACTCCAGATGTCTTCTCAGTAAATTCTTTGGAAGTAGTGAGGAGACGTGAGTCAGTCTTGGTTATAAAAGCTTCACAAAGCAATAAATCTCTACTTAAATACAGCATCAACCGTCACATTATTGAGATTAGGGCTGGGGATTTTCACCAAAGTCCCGAATCGATTCGATTTTGATCAATTCTGTTCTAAACCGATTAATTTTGATTCGATCTGTTTTTACAATAATGAAAGTATTTCAACTGTGTTTCAAAACGCTCATGTATTTTTATTTTTTCCAGTCATATTAAACACAAAGTGCAAACTTGTAAATCGGACAGTTTAAACTTGAGATGTGAACAAAACTGTCTCAAAAGTGCAAACTTGTTTATGAAAAGTGAAAAAGCGAAGCCTCAATCGAGCAAGCAGGCAGTGGAAACAGCGGGGACACAGCAGACATGCATGAGCTGCATTATCTCCACTGCACAAACCACATTTGCAGCGTTGTCTGTAACGACTACAGGGTGTTTGCTGGTCAGCCCCCATTTGTTAATGTCTTCAATCAACCTATTAGCTATACTTGCAGCTGTCTGGCTTGAAGCTGCTTATTCGAATGTCACGCGTCACTACGAAACTAATTGTTCTCATTCCCTAGACATCAATTTTGCACAAATGTAAAGGAATCGATTCAAAAACGTTTTTTTTTTACCCAGCCCTAATTGAGATGATAAAAATACTTGTTAAACCAAAGCTGCTGGTTGAGCAGAAATAATAAAACATATTTTTCTTTTCCATACTTTAAGACAGCTAGGAGAACCCCTAAGCAACTTAAAAAACGAAGTATATAACAGGCCCAGTTTTAGGAAACTACCATTTTTTTTTTTAAAGCCTGTGCCAGCAGGAATGCCTCACCTGTCTGACGTACACCTGGGGACCTCTGGAAGTGCACCATCTTCCCTAAAATGAAGGCCTGCGCTGGAAGGGTTGGCAAAGGTGGAGATGAATCTCCCCAGAGACTGAAAGGCAGCCTGTCGCACCTGAAGGGGGCGGAAGATTCAGACTTACAGATAAATGCATATAATTCAGAATTCTGCTGCTCAGATTCTTTAATTCAACTGTTAGACAAAATTAATCAATTAAAATTTAACTAAACCTAGTACATAATTTAAGGCTGAACCAAAAGCTTTAAAGGCCTTTGAGACTCACCCAACGGGACTGGTCGCTGATGAGGTTGATGAAGAGGGGGGACAGTTTAGAGCGTCGCACCTCTGGAGAGGTGGAATTGGAGACTGTCATGAAGCACTCAGCACACGCTTTCCTGATGCCCCAAAGGCTGTCTGAGCACAGGTTGAAGAACTTGGGCATCTATATGAAAAATAAAAGCCCACTGTAAGACTTTGGACTGTAAAGAGAATTTTTGACAGCCAGAGAATCTAAGGAAATATTGACTTTTTAAATGGAAACCATAGATTGCTCGATCATCTCACAACTAGCCGACAAAATAAACCGGAAAGTATTTTAAGGTCTCTCACCAGAAGTTTTTCTGTGGCTTCCTGGCCAACAATCGAACAGAACTCCCCAAAGTTACCTGCACACACCTGTAACATAAAAACAAAAAAGAAAAAGGGATGAAACTAAACAAAAAAAAAAAAAACTTATATAATCAGACTAAACATAAAACTTTACATTTTCCCTTAATTCATTCAACTCTAAATATGTCCAGATGTGTCAGAGTCTAATGAAATTAGAATAACAGAGACATCAAAAAAGAAGAAGAAGAAAAAAAATCCATGACTACATTTAACCACATTTGCAGCCCTGACACCAACTGGCACAAGTTTGACAGAATTAACATTCCAGAGGGGAAACAACGGCGTAGTGTCAGCTGAACAAAAACAGAACTGAGGCTGATTTAGGGAGCGACTGAATCCACACAGACCCAGCAAAACAAGCAGATTTAAAACTGACCTCACATAACTGCTCCCAGAGCCGTGCTTTAAGCAACGGCAGAACATTGAACCTGAGAGTTCTTCCTGTTTTTGGAGTGTGTCTCAAACATGAAGGGAGGGGGGGGGGGGGGGGGGGGGGGGGGGGGGGGGGGGGGGGGGGGGGGGGTATTTTACCTTGCGCACTTGGAAGAGTCTGGCATCGCTGCACAGGTCGCAGAAGCGAGGCAGCAACAGATGCTCCACTGTGTCTTTGCTCAACATGGTGACAACTTTACACATGATCTGTGTGAGAGAAGGAATGATTATAGAATCACCAGCTGAACTAAGAAAAGAGAAGACGGGTGAGAAAAGGTTAGACAACTTAAACAAGAGATAAAGTCAAGCTTATATGACCAGAATTAAACAAATAAAACTGCCCAATAAATGTATCTATATTTTATTTTTCTATCTTAATATTTCAATTTCCAAATAAGACTTAGACATATTTATTTTGCCATTTTGTATACACAGGTGTGAACAAAAAGACTTTTAGTTTAGAACAGCTCTCTAGACAATTTCATTTTTTAAAGTGCAGCCTCGATAAGGTAAGCAGCAGTTGTTGTTAAGCTGCTGCTACTGCCTCCAGTTCCTGAAGCACTCGCTTCTCCTGGCTCAGGGGAGGAAGAGGACGATGATGACGATGCTGTGAGGGTGGTAGCCCCCTGGGTTGAAGAGGCTGGGGTGGTTGAAGCAGCTGTGGTGCCATCGGCAGGTTTAGCAGCGACAGAGAAGGCTGGAGAAGGTGTGGAAGCCGGAGGGTTTTAGTATTTGGCAGGAAAGCATCTAAACTGCTCTCCTCATTTTCACCTGCAGACGGCTGTGCTTCCCTTCTAGATGTCGAAGATTGCCTGGGAACAGCCCCCCCCAGGCCAACAGCACCGTCCGGACGCAGCCAAGACTCCGTCAGAATGATGGCACAGCAGTTACACATCTCCTTTTTTTGAAGAGAGTTTGAGTTGGAAATTATCCATTTTGTTTTCCAACCAGCGGCTGTCGGAGAGCGGGACTGATGGAAGCGGCAGTCTGTGGGGATCTCTCTTTAGCTTCGCAGTTAGCCCCCCCTCTGCAGCCTCGCTTTCTCCATCTCACGCATCTCTTCCTCCGTTCGTTATTTTCCGCTGTTGTTTTGTTGACGCGGTCCATAGCACTCCGCAGCTTTTAAAACGGTCAAAAATGTCAGTATTTAAAACATTTTGTGACTGTAGCTCCAGCAGGCGTTGGTGATCATGAATGCGGGTTTGATGTCTCGTTTGTATCGTTTTAAGCGGCATATTTTGTGAAATTGTCGAGAGGAGCTGCTCTTCGCCGCTGCATTAGAGCGCCTCCATGGTAACTATGTTATATATGCTAAATAAGGATCTGTTGTTTAAATCGAAATGAGTCAGAATTTGTTTCTGACTGTTGAATTTTAATAGCACTTCAGAAATAAAGTAAAGCAGAAGCAGCCAAATGAATTAAGGGAGTTTCTTACAGCAACTGCCTCAATTTTGTAGTCATCATCACTGCTCGTTTCCGTCAGGTCGAGCAGAACGGGGCAAACTTTGGTCTCCATGTCAGCTTTAGAAATGAGGCCCTGCTCCAACAACACGAGTAGCGCTGCCTGACTCGTCTTCCGCACCTGTAAAAGATTAGTGTAAACAAAGAAAAACAAATAAAAATGCTAAAATGAAATAAATGAGGTTATTTATGTGAAACTTACCTGGTTATTTGGGTCTGTGAGATAGCGCACCACAATCGGTACCAAGTACCTCGAGAAAGCAGCTGGGAAATTGGGCCGACTCTCATGCAAAAACATGGCAATGTTAGGAACTTGTTCCATCAGCTCCGATCGCACGGTGGGCTCTGATCAAACAATACCGCACACATTCAATAACCAAAACAAAACAAGAAAAAATAAAAAAACAAAGACTAGAAAAAAAAAAAAAAAAACATCTACCTCCATCTTCCGACATTCTGGCAATTGTCTCCATGACACTGATAAAGTCATTCTCATTGTCACTGAACTCTCGAAGCACATCAAGCAGGCCACGAGCCACGATCTGCCTAGAAAGCAATAGCTCCAAGTTAGTGGTTCGCTTGCCAATACCTACAAGAGTAAAGTAAGCAAAGCACAACACGCAGCTCTAAAAGCAATGCCAATCACATCTACTTGAATAGCGGACAGCTCAGCTCTGTAGGTATTAGTATAAAAGCAATAAGAAGGAAACAGCTGTAATCAGCAAACAAAACACAAACATATGGATTTAGATTTGTGAGTTTATGAATAAATCTGAAGCAGCTTTTCAGGCAGAAAGACAAACTTTAGAAAACAATCCCATACATTAAAAAAATCTACAGAAAAACAGGAAAATTAAGGAAACCAAAAGTGTTTTCTAAGATTGCTTTACAGGAGATCAAACCCATAAACTTACAATAAACAGATGCTGCAATGACATTATGTCAGTGTAACCTGGTGTTATTCAGTATTTGGACTATGAACATTCGTTTTTATAACACTACAATTTCCCAGTAATGATTGACTCCAGATAATTGAGATATTTCAATGTAAATATCTGCCTAGCATTTCATCCTCCTTCAACAAGCTAATGTCTCCTCAACTCTGATTAATCTGCTGACGTCTCGTTGTGACAAAGTCCCACAAGGCGTGGCATTATGTTAATACTCAATAATATGACAAACATGTTAAATAGCTGTGGTAACAATGGTAAAGTAATTTCCAGAATCAGTGAAACCAAACATTTATCACTCTACATGGTATGCAGCATTTAAGATTTTTAAATCAATGAAGAGAATAAAAACAAATAGGAGGAAACAGGCAATCTTTCCTATTATTAATAAGTGGAATAATGATCAGTTTTGGAAAAAAATAACACTTGTGAATACATATATTTGTGAGGAGTCCAGCTTTATTTTTAACATGAATCCCCATGATTTAGCTCTAAAGATTTACCAGCAGCAAACTAGCTGAGCACAGCTTGTTAAAGAGTTTGATGATCTCAGGGTTTGACGCGTTTCAGTGGACGGTCGGATTAACATCCTGAACATAGAGCTCATCTTACCTATTGAATGTATTGTCGCTGAAGGCGTACTTCTCCAACCTTCCTAAAGGGGTGAGGTTGTCTTGTCCAGCATCAAGGAATGCTGTGATACGGATGCCGTCGCAATCTGAAGCATAATCATCAAATCCAACTGTGGATGGAAAGATTGAGCTTTTACTGTCAACTCAAAAAATAAAAACACATAAATGTACACATTAGCAATCTCTGAAGATGGTGTGCAGAATATACACATCGGAAATAATCAAATAATAAAAATGTTTGACATGAGAAGCAAAGTGCAGATTTGAATGGGGGAGTATAAATATTCTGCTACTAAATACATCAAATCTGAGTTTAATTTATTTGGCTAATATACATTAGATACACATTATCATTACTTACACATATATAGAAAATAAAATAATTTATCCCTTGTCATAACATGGATCTATTGGTATACTTACAGTCATCCAGATCATCATGGCCATCTTCAAAGTATAAAGATAGACCTGCAACAAGGAAACAGTTAGTGGGGAGTAGTAGGTTTCTTTACAATAAAGCAATATTATTTGTACATTTAACCTCCAGACTTTAAAAACATTCTAATAAACATAAAGTTAGATAGATTAAAGTTATTGCAGGTCATACTGGGATGAAAAGGTACATTTCGTATCCCCCCTCCTGTTTCTTTCTCCATTTTCAGTAAGCTAATTTTCAACAATTTGAGTGTTAAATTAGTTAAAGCGACTCTGAAAACTGCTCACTGCAACAAGAGGAATGGCTAAGTGAATAACGGGAAATCTCCATCTACACAGACAAAAATGAAAGATGCAGAGAGATGGCTTTGCTGCTAATAATCAAACCATCTAAACCCAGATTTAGGGACCAACGGTGATTCAGAAGGAAAATGGCCTTCAGCCTCAAATCCAATTCTTTCAGGTGCTTATGATTAATGATATCAGATGTCAAAAAATATTTGAAGTGATGCTAAACAAAAAACTCCAACATTATAAAGAAAGGAAAATTATCTTTTTGATACTAGATTTTATGTAAAATTCAGTGTTCAGGTCCCATAACACGCATCATACATCAAAATTGTGTCAGTTGATGCTGGATCTTTGCATTTACAGGGTGTAAATAATGAACGTTATATTTTCAACGTCTACATCAGGTCCATCCAAAACTATGAGGAGTTCTGCAGCTTTTAATATTCATCTCTATTTTTAGCTCTTTATCTCTATCTTAATTTTGTCTATTTTTTTAAAAATACCATGCGACTTAAACACGTTTATAATATTTTGATTCATGTATAATCAAATATCTCTCTACCCAATTCTTTTTTTGTTTACAGTTGTATGGTTAAACTTTGGTGCACACAGTTAACGTCTACTGAAAAAAATAAACATGTGAAATTATTTTTGCTTCATAAATCCACAATCAATTTACCCCACCTGTTAATATAAATTTCATTTATGTTTACATATTTTAATGTACTTTGATATTAAAATAATCTATTTTACATTAAAGCATATTAACAAACACAGCTACAAGAAAAATATTTTCAGGCAGAGACATTAAGCGATGTAATACGGAGTATCTTTGTGTAGTTGCAACATTTTGATTAAGAAAACACTGTAACTAGTTTACCTTTTGCATGATAAGCATTTTAATATTGAGGACTTAAAAGAAAAGCAGTATGGCTAAAATGTCCAGAAACAAATTACTATGCTTCTTTTAAATGCTAAAAAGACACAAACATTATTAAATAACCAGAACTGCACAATATTTTGAATGGATGTTTTGGATACAGTGTCTGGTAGGATGCTAGAGTGATAAAGTTCACCTTCCCTCCATATCTACAAGAAGTGTGGCTGAGATACATTAACTAACAGGATGGAAGAAACCTAGAGAAAAATGTAGGTCAGCCAAAATAAAAATAATAAAACTTACAATTTTATTAATAGTGCTGCTAGCAAACATCCCTACAAATAACAGTGTGGCAACAGTACTTTATGTGATCTTCAATTGCATTTCATAAGCTTACTGATCAATGAATAAGAAGATTAAACCAGACAAAAAGAGGACCTGATACACTTCTTACATGTTATTACTTCTATCATATTCCTCAACCCATTTATTCCAAAACTGTCCATCATTTGCCATGTTTCTGTTGTCCATTCTTTAACATATCTACATGTATATTGTTTTGTTTGTAGTCTAGTTTACTTATAAAGAACTACAGCTGGTGGGGCATTTCCTGCACCGACCAGGACACTCCAAACCTGCCAGATTTCAATGAATAAATACAAAATTATTTTAGATTTTTTTTAAATGCCATTCAGCCATCGATATACCACAGGACTAGTAGAGACAAGTTAAGATAAGCCCAGAAGACCAGGAAGGGAAGAGTATGTTTACAGCTGTTGAGGCTAAGGAATGTGCTCCAGATATAAAAACAACCTAAAACTTGAAATCATGGTATCTGCCTAGTGCTTATTCAAATTTTCTTAAACATTACTATATAATCTAAGACATCCAATATTCATAAAGCCTAGAAGCAAACAGTCCACTTTGTTATTGTATATATTAGGATTTGGGCAGCTTATGTCTGACACTGACTAGCTACCAGGCTAACATAAGGCTAAGTCAACTCGATAGCCTAATACTTTACCAGGTCGAAATTTAAATCCACATCAAATATATCATCCGTATTTGATAAAGAATAACTCCACTGATCTTATTAGACATCTTTTTCAAACTGAAAACTGTTTAGCAGTGAACGCTTTTGCAATGACCCATTTCAACACTCCTGTTAGCTTTCGTTAGCGAACAGGCTAATGCTAACAGCCCTGCGCTACAGTCGGCTTTCTTAAGGTAGCATTACACCCAACAAGTGCTGAAATAGTTAGCAGAGTTCATGTGTTACAACTCGGATCAGTAACACTGCACTTTATTAATAAAAAACATAAAGTTTATAAAAGAAATGCCAGGTTTAAAAGTGTTATTACCTGCCATCTTGAGTATCGCCTTGCTCTGCGGGCTGCCTATCTGCCTTCTAATGCGCTTCCTCCGACAGGGGTGTTTTTCATGACAGGGGTGCCTTTTTCGACACAACACCGTCCGCCGTCCCGTTGTGGGCTGTCACTCAAACACGGCAGCTAACTACTTCCTGAAAGTCCTTACAGCGCTGATATTTCCACACGGATTATGTTTTAAACAACTAACTCTTACAATTGTTTCGACGCTCTGGTACAAACTCGACATTACGGAGCATAAACTGAGCTTTCTTTGTGCGCCTCCAAACAAAAACAAAAAAAAAGAAAGAGAGAGACTATAGAGTCACGTGACCACACGCCGTAGTTCAAGATGGAGACCGAGCGGCTGAGCGGCTTCGCAGTTAGCTAGCGAGCTGTTTACAGTTATGACAATATTTAGTGAAATATGAAGGACATGAAGACGTCACGATGCGTAGAGCAGGAGTTTTAGCCTAAATCGGAAAGTGGATTTATACCTTATGATTACTATGAAGCTACAGACTTTATAAATACAGATCGCCTGAAAAATTATCCAGATAAAAAGGTAGAAGCAGAATATAAAAGTGCCCGTGATCATTTAAATATTCCGGTTTGAAGATACATTGCTATGGCACTGAGAGAGCTGAAAGTCTGTCTCCTTGGGGTAAGTAATGAATCTGCGACTCTTTCTGATCTGTTTTATTTAAAACTATAATCAGTCACCCCTGATTATAGAAACAGACTGAAAAACACCAATTGTGCTTTTTTTTAACATTAAGTACTTTTAATTCAAACGTCTTGGTTTGAGTCCAAACTGAGATCATATAAAATGTTTCAACATTATGAGAGCGTTTACATAAAATACCAATCCTCACCTATCCAGTTTATCATTTAAACAGAGGCGTAGCTAGAAAATGTTTATAGGGGCAGTAACCAATGTACACCGAGGGGTGGCCGGAAGTAGATAGGCACCACAACCTGAGGGTCAATCTACACTGTTCCAATGGGAAAATTAACCAGCAAAATATCCATATTTTTTAAATAAAGACAAACTATACTTTCCCACAGCCTTTGCTGACAAATAGATGAATATATTCAAACATCCGTGCTTTTTAGATAACAGAGGTTTCAAATAACTATGTACAAATACTTCGTTACTGTACTTAAGTACACTTTTTAGGTATCTATACTTTACTCCATTACTTATTTTTCTTCCTACTTCTGACTTCTACTTATTACATTTTCACACAAGTATCTGTACTTTCTATTCCTTACTTAAAAAAACAAACGTTACTCGTTACTCTTGGCTTCCGTTTAATGTTTATAAATATTTATTTCAGGTCATGTGCTGCCATCCACATCTAGTGAAAACAAGACCTCCCTCATCCTTGGCCCTATCTCACAGAATTTTTTTAAATAATCGAACAATTTAGCTTCCAGATCATATAGTGGCATCTGGCTGTTTTTTAAAGCTTACTTTATACTTTTATACTTTAAGTGGTTTTTGGAGCACATACTTTTTCAATTTTACCTGAGTAAAGTGGTCAAGTTGATACTTCAACTTTTACCAGCGTGTTTTTAAACTGCAGTATCTATACTTCTACTTAAGTAACAAATGTGTGTACTTTTGACACCACTGCTAGATAAAAGGTGTAGTGCAGAGGTCTTCAACAGGTGGTCCGCGACCCCTAGGGGGTCCATGGACGTACTGCATAGGGGTCGCGAAAATTTTGGTTGATTAGCTGTTTTGTTTTTTTTTTCTTGCAATTTTTTCCACTCATTCATATTTCTTTAAATCCACATTAACATGAAATTAACACACTGTAGTAAACAGATAAATGGAGGCATCAATGCACACATTCAGCGACACACAGGAGCTCTTTCTAGCTGGGAACCGTATTATTCACAACACCTGTCCCATCAATGAGGAATCAGAATCAGAAATACTTTAATAATCCCAGGGCGAAAATTACTTTCGTTACATGACACTATCTGTTATAGAGTGACTATAAGACCAGTTTAATAGAACACAATTTCATACAATATATATAATTAGGTGTCCCTGCTCCATCTTGTTTGGGGATCCTTATACTGAAAAATGTTGAAGACCCCTGGTATAGTGGATAAAATTCCTTCAGGTTTGAGTTTTGGGCAAACATCTTTTTCTTTGTCATTACTTACCTACTTTTATCTGAAATCATTCTGCATAAAATTGATACTAACAAGTACTTGTATCTACATAAATTGATTATTTTATAAGTTTTTATTAAACTAGTTATTAATCTATGATTTTACTGAACACTACTGGATGACTTGCAGAGACACATCATTTTCTCTTTACCCCATAAAACACAAAATCTATTTCTGAAAAGAGCATGGATTCTCTAATTATCATCTTTAATGTTTGTATATTGATGTGCATCATTAACCGCAGAGTATTTGTTGTCAAGTAATTGTTAATATATGAGAAATTAAAATTTTTTGAATATTCCACTTGAGAGTATTACTGTTGCCACCATCTGTATTAGAGGGGGAAAATGGTAGCTCGCCCTTGCATTTAAATTAAACGAAAATCTGCTTTATGAGTCTATTTCTGCTTAAAGTATTCAGACAATTTACTGTAATTAATCATGAGTTGATATATTGGGCTTAGAAGGTTTCTCTCATTTTAAATAATTAAGGGTTTAAAGGGAACATAATGGATCTAAGTATGCGGCGATCCTTAAACAATCTTAAAAAAAGGAACCAGGTCAGCAAGCCAGCAAAAATGTAACACTTAAAGTAGAACTTATCAGTCAGTTGCTAAATTAAAGCCGTACCTTTTTTTGCTAAAGAACAAGATGTGAACTCATGGTTCCTGTAAAACTATAGATAATGTATTAGCAGAGGAGAGAAGAAAGGACCCCAAAGATGTTTATGATGCTTTATAAAATAATAATATATATATTATTGTTTTGTCTGTGCAGGATACTGGTGTTGGAAAATCAAGTATTGTTTGTAGATTTGTAGAGGACAGCTTTGACCCAAACCTCAACCCAACCATTGGGTAAGTTCCTCCTGTGTCATGATTGTATCACCTTATTTATATACTTCAACTGACAGATTACTAAAATACATGCAATGAATGTTTAGTAAGAACTGAAAAGAAGCAGTAATAATTCAGATTTCTATGTTGTTGCCAAACAGTTATTTTAAAACACTTTATTTTGCCACCATGTTATTATTATAATATTGAACTTTCTTTTAGGGCTGAAACAATTAATCGGCTTAATCAATTGTTGAAATAATTGTCAACTAATTTAGTAATCGATTAATCATTAAATGGAGATTAGAGTCTGTAAAACATGCCTTTAGCTGACAGAGCAACCCACTTAGATCAAACCAAATTGTAATAAATATATGTAAATATTTTGCACTTAAGATTAAAGAAAGGATTTTTTTTCGATCAAGAACTTCTCAAGTGGAAATGTTTTAGTTTAACTTCGTTTAATTTCGTAGAAAATCTTCTTTAAGGAACCTTCGGCTATCTGACTATTAATTGAAAAAGTAATTGACAGATGAATCAATTTGCAAAATAATCGTTAGTTGCAGTCCTACTTTCTTTCTCTTATTGGATGCAAGCTAGGCCTAATGAATGGGTTTTTTTCTGTAGATAATTATATTTCAGTCTTCTGAAATACTGAAGATCGATTATTTTATTAATAATAATCTCTTTTATTTGTAATTGACTGAATCCCTTTAGCTATGTTGACACTGCACACGCTTAGAGCATCAGAAGCCGACAGTTTACATGCAAAATGGTTGACTCTCATCAAGGCGATCCAAAGGTCCTGCAGCACACCTTGATGCAGCTGAAGCAGCGTCTCATGAGCCTTCTGAGCATCTAATGCGCTTCACAGGCAGCAGATGCTAAGGTTGGAAAAATTGAACTTTTGCTGCTTGACGTGCCACATCAACCAATCAGAGAAGCTGATCTGAGGCTGGCAGGGAGACGGACACAGCGCTGATGATACAGAGTGCTATGATCACTCCCCTGATACTGCCTATTAACACCTAAATTAACTTAACAGGTCAAAACCTGATGTTTAATATTATTCTGGTGCCTGCAGTTTGTACCACATACCTGAAAAACGCGAATATCTACTTCCAACCGCAAAGAACAGTAGGGGAAAACCCCCGAAGAGGCGACTAGGCCTGAGGAAGCTGTTCCTGGGGATTTCTAATGACAGCGTACTGCTGGTGTCGTAGATGGGTGTCGTTCCAAGGTAGTTATCCCCACCAGAATTTGTATCCCCTCGCCGGGAGCACGCTCGGAGTTCACTCCGCCTCAATTCCAACCTACTAAGAGTGAAACTTGAGCGGTATGTGGGCGTCTGCACGGCTATGACAGAGAAATAACATACCGGTATTAAGGCAGGATCGTAATCTTGATGAACTGACTGCACAGACATTATTTTCAGAATATGTTAAAGCTACTTTTTACCAGCTTATCACAGCTAATATAGCAAAGCCGCCCTCTGCCATTGAACACAGGAGCAGTAGACGCATCTGGAGACACTTTACCTGTCGCTCTTCACTGTCATCAAAGATGCTCTTGAGGCGCGTTTGACTTTTATGTGAACAAGGATCAAAAATGAAGCAGCAGGCGTTTTTTTGCTGGTGAAATCGCGTGCGGTCTGAATGTAGCAGAGTGACAGGCTGAGGTTTGAACCAACAACCTTTCGGCAGCTCTTGTACTCAAATCTCTGCCTCTTAACTACCAGGCCCTCACATTACCAAATATGGAAGAAAATAATTTAGAATTTAAGTAAATAGACAGTGTTATTAGTCACCCACTGTTTTATGTTTGTGTGATGATTACGTTGTGAAAGTGATACCCAGACCTGTTTCTTTTTAGCCCCCCTCTTCCACTCATTTGGTGGAATTTTAAGGTATTCTCAGGCCAAAAGGGATATAAAGTCCCTCCTGGTTAAATGTGCCTAGAAAACCTTCTAACGGAGGCTTCAGGGAGCAAAGAGAGGCGTCCTGACCTGATGCATGAAGTTCAGCTGACATGCTTTAACGAGGAGGACCAGCGTCGTCACACCTTTTCCTATTGAGCCTCACTTCTCTTATAAGAAACTCATCTCCGGTACCATAAGTTGATGTAGATAAACCGGTAAATTGAGAACGTTAGCTTTTGGCTCAGTCCTTTATTTACCACCACAAGCCGGCGTGTGACCGCAACACACTGTAGATGACTCAAGCTGTTCATTTCCTTCACTATCGTGCCATTGTTCATGAAACTGAAGCAGCATTTCATTTTCCCATAGTGAAAAACATTGTTTTACAATTAGAAGAGCTAGCTTTAATCTTAGCTGCTTCACACTCAACCACCTGTTAAAGTTATGGCTTCTCAAAGTCATGCCAAGTACATCATCAGTCAAGTACTAAGATGAGAACCTGATCCTCCTGAAACATCCTACTGTCTGCTGCTGCACCTTTTGTTTCCTGCCAATGGAGACCATAAACCTGATCCAGGATAACAGGCCCCTGGCTGCGTGCAATCTGCACTGTCAACAAGATTGAGTTCTTCTAAAGAATGCCAAGAGAGCTCTCGCTTTCATTGTGCATAGCCTGGATACGGCATGAAAGTCATGCTCACCCATTCATTCTCTCCATCTAATCATCATAACAATAGTTGGGAATGATGCTGGACGATTAATTGCCTCTGCAACATAAGGCATAAGAGGCACTCAGTGTTGGTCACATTTAACCTGATTCAAAAAACGATATTTCACACTTTAGATTGCAGTAATGTGCTAACAGTGGGTTTGCTGCACCACAGAGGGGAACACATAGTTGGAGCTAGCATGCAGCTCCATGCATACAAGCAGAAGTAAAAACCTTTCCACACTACGCCGACAAAGAAAGCGGAGGGATTAAGTACGGAAAAAAACAAGTTTGTGATTTCAGTTCAGTAGTTCTTAAAAATATATCCGTTATTTATGTTTCTTCCTATTTGGAAAGTTGTTCAAAATTTAAAACGTATCTACGGGGCCAGAAAGTTATGTTAAAATAAACATTTGGTGTAAATTTGTCACTTCCAGGTTTTTCTTGTGTTTATTGTCAAGTTGGTCTTTTTAAGTGGCATTAAAAAGTCTTAAAAAGTCTTGAATTTAACTTGCCTTATGCTGCACACAACAGTAGCAGTCCAGCCACAAAGTAAGTCAGAAAAACAATCTAATCTTGAAGATAAACACCTACATACTTGTGGTTAAAATCCAAAAAAAATAGCATTTTTTTGGTATAAAAAAGGCAATTTAGATTGTTGGCAAATTAGTTTAGCTCTAATTGTGTAATCTGTCATTTTTCGTAAGACATTAAGACTTGTGATGCCTCTTGAAAGACAGTGAAATAATTTTATTACGAAGGCCTATTCACTTAATATAACAACCAACACATCCTCTTTTATCTCAGGCTTTACAGATAATAGAGACTTATTGAATTTTATTTTAAAACGGATTTGTTTGCTCAATGTTTCCCCCAGGGCATCTTTCATGACCAAGACAGTGCAATACCAAAACGAGCTGCATAAGTTCCTCATCTGGGACACGGCGGGACAGGAGAGGGTGAGTATCGTCAACCTGAGGAGGAGGGGCTGCTTATATCGTGGCGCCACAGTTGAACTGATTTTGAAATGTTTGAATTTCCGTGCGTTTGTAAAGCAGGTCAAAGAGCCGTGTCTGTGTAATTCTACATGTTTGAGCCCCTTAATAATTCCCCTCTCAGGCGCATGAATCCTGCAGTAAGTTGGATCTTCTGAAAGGGGGCAACATTTTCCTTCCTATAGGAGGAGGTCTGATTATTGGGTGTTGGATTTATTTGAGCCAGCCAGGGAATGTTTTTCATGTTTTTTATGTTTTGATGCGTCTGAAAAGTGTTTCACTGCAACAAACCTGACCCTCATTTATCTATAAATGCCTTTTTTTTCTTCCTTCCATCCAATTCCTGCTTTGGCGTCGTTCAGATTAAAACAGGATCCACGCTGAAACTGAAACTAGCTCCGTTTTTTGTGGAAGGAGCAGCTTTCTCCTTTGACTAACCGTCTACATCCCATGTTTCTATGCATCACAGATCCAACGTCGCTTCCCTTTTCTTTTCCCCGACATGAACTTCCCTTTTTCATGCTCAACCTTCTGCTATTGTGATGTTGTATCCCTTGCGTCAGCGCTCTCCCCAGAGCTGAGATAAGATCCAGCTTGTCTTTTATCCTCCTTCCCTCTGGAGGATTCCTTTTCCTAGCGCTCTTCAGGGGACATCCGCGCAGACCTATTTAAGATAAGACAGGAGGATGAACCCGCCATCTCAGCCCTATGCAGTTTTCTGTTGTTTCTGTGTCTCTCTCTGTCACTCCACTTCAGAGTGTGCATTTTTTTCCTTCTTATGAACAATTTCTTTACTTTAGGCCTCTTAATTTCCAAATAAATTCACTTCTGTAATAATAATAATATAATGCAACATGTGTTCCTGTTTTTGTGGTATGCTGAAGCCTTCTCTGGCTTGTTTTCTGACAAATTGCAAGAAAAGAGTTCAAAACCAGCTGAAAGTAGAGGAAAAGCTCAGCGTCCATATCTTGAAATCAGATAAGGCATCAAGGGACAACTGATCCCAAATAAAACCCACCAGGCTTCCACCTCTTTCTGCTCTTTTTCACTGGAATCAAGAAAAGCGTAGCTCTGCTTCCAGTTGGAACAAAAAGGTGGCTTTTGTGCACCCAGTTTGTGGTTTCAGCGATTAATCAGCTCTACCAGGGTATCAGGGAAGTTGTTTTTTATGCTTCTGTGTGGCCAGACGTCTGGCCTCGGTGTGATTGCTCTTCGGGTTTAGGCAGAGATAGACCACACAGGTCTGACTGTGGTGAAGCCCCCCCCCCTGACACTCGCCAGCGAAACAGACAGAGCTCTCCTCAGTGGCCCGGCCAAAAAAACCCCAAGCTGGATTCCTGCTGTTAGACTTGAGGCCAGTAACAACTGTAATTATGGGGAATGTGTGCTTTTTCTGAGGTAACATTGTCACTCTAAGACGAATGGTTTGTTTTGCTCTATTGTGAAGGGAAACAGAATGGCTGTGAAGACAGGGTTGGTTCGAGTCACATGCGAGTCGTCGCTCTTTCAAATAAACATCAGTTTTTGATGGGTGGCGCTTGAATTTATTAGCCGGCTGCATAGTTCCCTACAGAAATCCTGTTTTATTTATTTATTTTTGCTTTGTTTTAACCTTTTTTTTTTTAGGAATAAACAAAATCTATGAACCAAAACCGCTAACTGTAGCCCCTAACAGTAACTCTACTGTTTGATGCAATGGTGAAATTAGATGATGCATAGAAGCAATGTGTGAAAAGCTTTAAATAAACCAGCTTTATTCAAGTAGCATCTTCTCACGTATACAGAAAAATAAACAGTTAGTCATTTCCTTTAGAGAGACGGTAAAGCACCTCCATCTAAATACTACTGAGCGCTTCTTTTGATGAGTTTATATCTGAGCTGGAGATCAGATCAAATGTGTGATCTTTTATAAATATCTACATTCCTGTAATAACCTTTGCATGGGGACGGTGAATTGTTGCCATTTACTTTTGGCCCCTTTAAAATTTATTACATTTCCTAATATTTAGTTATGTCTGGTGATGTCATTTCTGCACCGTTACAGATCAGAGTCTTTAAAAAGCTACAGCATGGTCTGTAGGAGGGAATCATGTAGAACTGTGCAGTTATATCATTTTGGACCTGATATATTTAGGATTCTCATCGGGGAAAAATGAATAACTAAAAGGAGGTGGAGGCCTCCAGTGATGAGTAAGCAGTCATTGTTTCCTATTCCTTATTTACAGCCACATTCTTTGTTCTATATCCTGCCCACTATTCAGTCAATTTTAAGATGTTTTTCAGAAGTGATGGTGTCGGATTATACAAACAGATAAATCAGAGATTAACCTTACTTTAAAACTTAAGGCTCTTTGTTTATGCATGCATCGGTACAGTCCAAAAAACAATTTACTCAGGGGCAGCACTACTTCACTGGAAAAACGATCTAGAAATAAGTAAAACATGTCTTAAATTAAGTGTATTTACCCTTAATTTGAGCAGGTAAATGAGATAGTATGCCAATGGAATTAGTATTTTTGCTCTTAAAATAAGATAATTAGATAATATGCACATGAAATAAGACAATGCAAATGAGTTTTCTTATTTTAAGTGTAAATCGTCTTGTTCCATTGGCAAAATGTCTCTTTTACGTCCTCTATCCAAGAACAAATGCACTTATTTTAAGAAAAAAATTACTTATCTAGATTTCAAATTTTTCCAGTGTTCATCATATTTTAACTCAAAAGTAAAAAGTAGACATACAAGAAATAACTTAAGGAGGAGTTAAAAATATTTGGTGAAAATGCTAATTAAATTCTGAGTAATGGATCTACTTATTATAACAAGTGATTTGATATTTTAAAAAATGATGTACATTTAAAAAAACAGTGATATGAAGTGCAAAGTAAATCTAATTGTAAGTCTAAACACTGTGTATAAAAATATATCTGCAAAATGTGTTATATTCAACAACAAAAAATACTAAGTTAAGTAAATTGTGCAGAACAGCAATAAAAAAAATAAAAATCCTATCAGATTTATAGTCCCCACCCTTCAGATATAATAGAATCTGTCCTTAAATTACAGTCCGACTCATTTACACAGTAACAGATAAAAACCTTTAGATAAATCAATCATTATCGCCACATATGTGACTCAATAACCATTAAAACAACTATTATCATTCATTTCAGGTGGAACTATTTACTTACTTGGATTATATCAAACTGCACTTCCAATATTCTCCACTGTTTGGCGCCAATTACCTTTTCCTCTGATCACGGAGCAGACGGCTTGCTTGGTCTCGCAATGAATCCTGGGAAAACCAAGGATAGCGAGGATACATCAGACCCGTCCTTCAAATCGGGCAAAAAGAAGGACGCATTTTATGGCCGCATAACGAGGATTCTTGGAATCTGACCAGACCTCGGCGCCACGCTATGACATAATCGGCCTTCGAATCTGGCCTTCTCAGGACACATCCCATGAATTCGAACA